GCCTGTACTGCGCTGTAATGTTCTATGTTCTATGTTCTATGTTCTATGTTCCTCAGGGTAGCGTCCTAGGCCCAACCACCTCCAGCTGCTTCATCAATGACCTTCCCAACATCATAAGGTCAGAAGTGGGGATGGTCGCCGATGATTACACAGTGTTCAGCACCATTCACCGTTCGCAATTCCTCAGATACTGAAGCAGACCATGTCTAAATGCAACAAGATCTGGACAATATCCAGGCTTGGGCTGACAAGTGGCAAGTGACATTCACACCACACAAATGCCAGGCTATGACCATCACCAATTAACTGTCTAATTAAATAACAGCACTCCTGCCTCACAGCATCAGGGACCTAGGCTCAATTCCAGCTTCAGGAGACTGTGTGTACATGGAGTTTGCACATTCTCCCTGTGTCTGTGTGGGTTTCCTCCTGGTGCTCCAGTTTCCTCCCACAGTCCAAAGGTGTACTGCTTCGGTGAATTGGCCATGCAATATTGTCCCATAGGGTCTAGAGATGTCTGGGCCATGTGAATTAACCATAGTTAATGTGGGGTTACAGGGATAGGATGGGGGGCTGGGACTGGGTGGGAAGATCTTAGGCGGGTTGGTGCAGGCTTAATGGGCTGAATGGCCTCTATCTGCAGTGTAAGGATTCTATGATTCTATGAAAACTGGCAAGGCAGGTGATGTGTTGCAGCTGTAGCATGTGGGGGCTGGGCAACACCAGAGAGATCCACTACAACCACAACTGCAGCGAAGTGTCTGAGGCTCAAGGAATTTCACCCCAGAGTTAATGAGCTGGAGGCCAAGGAGCTGACACAGTGGAATTCAATAACCAGAGGAAAACATTATTAAGACACCCATTCCAGGAGGCAATCACACTCCTTTGTATAGGGTTAATCTGATTTAGTTTGTGTTCGTTGATCAGCAGCTGTGACTGTGAGTGAAGAAGGTCAGGCCACTGGGAAGCTACAAGTTCAGGAGCTTCATCCCCTACCAGTTATCAAAGAGACTTGAGGTCCTTGCAGCTCATGTGGACCAGAGCAGGACCTGCCGGGGGGGGCGGGGGGAATGAAGAAACCGTCCAAGGCACAGACAGCTATCCGCACGGGGGCAGTTAGCAGGAATGTTGTGGTAGTAGGGACAGTACTGACGGGGTGAGACAATGTTCTCTGAAGCTGAGAGTGAGAGTCGAGGCAGCTGTGTATACTGCCCAGGGCTAGACGTTGGGATCTCTGTTCACAGCTGGAGAGGAACTTTTAGTTGGAAGAGTAGGATCCACTTGTTCTAGTCCAGGTAAATACCAATGTTCTGAACAGGATTAGGAAAGATGGGTGTAGCTTAAACATTAGTGTGGGAGAAATAGGTATCAATTCATGGGTCACTGGGACCAATAGTGGTGTATTGTTGGAACAGTTTTCTGTTGAACTATGGTGGACCTAGAGTTTTGTTGAGCCGTATATCCAGGGCAGTGGAAGGTTTAAATGGAATATTCAGGATGACAGATCAAATTAGGGAAGGTGTAATAATTTAAAGGAAGAGAACAAAGCAAGAGAGCAGGAAGAGACAGAATGTACATATTTAACCATGTAACAGCAGATAAAGCCAAAGTTTGCAAAGATAGTAAAAAATTCAAAACTAAAGGCTTTATATCTGAATCCACTTTGATTAATAAAGGGCTGAATTGTGTGCTTGAATAGAAATAACTTAGTACAATCTGATGGCCATCACAGAGACATGGTTGCAAGGTGATCAAGGCTGGGACCTAAATATTCAGGGGTAATTGACATTCCAGAAAGACAGAAAGCTCAGAAAAGGTGTGGGAAATGAGGTAGTTCTGTTAAGTAAGGATAACATTGGTACCATGGTAAGAGATTACCTTGGTTTTAAATATCAAGATGTAGAATTGGTTTGGCTAGGCACAAGGAATAGAAAAGTTAAGAAGTCATTTGTAGGAGCAGTTTATAAGATCCCTAACAGTAACCAGTAATCAGTAACTATAGGGTGGGGTATGTGGGAAGAAATAATGGAGATTTATGGAAATGGTGCAACTATAATCATGGGTGATTTTAATTGATTGGACAAAGCAGATTGGCAAAGGTAGCCTGGGAGTTTGAGTTCATGGAGTATTTTTGAAGCAGTTTCTCAGATCAACACATTCTAGCAATGGGACAGGATTAATTAATCAATTCATAACAAGGGAGCCAGGAGAGACCAGTGATTACAATATGATCGAATTTTGCTTAGAGTCTATGTAAGACTAGTATTTTAGTCTTAAATACAGGTATAAGGACAGAGCTGGTTAAAATCAACTGAGAAATTTGGTTAAAGGATTGGTCAGTACAGGTGTAGAGGAAGGTATTTAATGAGATATTTCAGATTTGGAAATATTATGGGTGGAAAATATAGGCCAAAAAGAATAAAATCAATGGATCAAAAGTCCAAAACAGACCTCAAGGGAAATGAAATGACTTTCTCACTGTTATTTTAGCTTCTGACAACAATATTACATTGTTGTCAACTTCAAAAAGCCTCAATTTTGTAAAGAGTCTGTTGAATATAGGTCTTGGCTTGAGTTAGAAGGTTTTCACTTTGTAGAATCTGAATGTTATCTTGTTTCCATTCACAGAGAGAAAATGGCTGAAATTATTGCTGGGTTTTGGAGTCTGAGTCCTTACAGTTGTCTTCTCTCAGTTCTGCAACAAATCTGCAACTTGAAATCAATCCAAAAGCTCTTCCCTTTTGACTTAAAATATGTCTCACAAAGTATAAAATCAAGTTTCTCTACAAAAGCCTCATGACTTTGTGTCACTAATGAGTGAATTCCACACAGTTTCACTCTTCTGTGAGTTCTAAAAACAACTAATAATTCAATTTTCCAAACATGTTAAGTGAGTTCCTTAAAAGGATCACATCAGATTAGAAATCAGAGAATGTGACTCTGGTTTTCAAAAGAGGGAGAGAGAAAACAGGAAATTAGGGACCTGCAAGTTTAATATCTGACATTAGGAAAATTCTAGAATCTCTTTATGAGGGTACAGCTGATGCTTAGAAATCAGGCAGAGTTAGCATGGTTTTATGAAAGGAGTATGGAATATGACAAATTTATAAGAGTTCTTGGAAGAAGTAACAAGGAATATAAATAAAGGGGAAGATGTTGATGCGGTATAGTTTTATTTTTGGAAGGCATTTGTTAAGATGCCATAACAAATGTTACTACATCAAATGAGATGTTGGGATGTAGGGGATAGCTTATTAACATGGATAGAGCATTAGCTACCTAACAGGAAATACAGAAGGAATAAATGTGTCTTTACAAATATTCCTACATTGAACAAGGAGCAAGAGGAGCTATTCAGCCCTTCCAGCCTGCTCTGCCATTCAACAAGATCATGACTGATCTGTTTTAATGTCAACTCTGCAGTTCTGTGTATCCCCAATAACCTTTCAACCCCGTGGTCATCACGAATCTCTGCCTGAAAAATATTTTGCAGATTTTGCATCCAGTGCCTTCTGAGGAAGAGAATTCCGAAGATACTCAAATCTCTGAGAGAACTAACATTTACCCATCTTTGCCTTAAATGGACACCCCTTTACTTTTAAGCAATAACTCCTAGTTCTAGATTTTCCCACAAGAGGAAACATTCTTTCCACATCCATCTATCAAGTCCCCTCAGGGTCTTATGAGTTTCAATTTAGTCACTACTAACTCTTATAAACTCCAGAGGATACAGGCCAAGCCTGTCTAGCCTTTCCTCACAAGACAATGCAATCATTCCAGGTACTAGTTTAGTAAACCTTCTCTAAATTGCTTCCAATGCATCAACATCCTTCTGTAAGTACACTGACTAGTTTTGCAGTCAGTATTCCAGGTATGGTCTCACCAGTGTTCTGTATAACTGAGGCATAATCTCCCTATTCTTGTATTCAATTACCCTTACAATAAAACGTTAGTCTATTAGCTTTCCTGATTCCTTGTTGTACCTGTAGACTAACCTGTAGTGATTCATACACTAGGACCGCCAGATCCCTCTGCTCCCCAGAGCTCTGCAACCTCTCACCATTTAAATAATCAGCTTCTTCTTCATTCACTCTGCCAAAAATGAAAATTTATTACTTCCCACATTATGCTCCATTTGTCAAATCTTTGGTCACTCACTGAACTTATCTATATCCCTTTCGTAAGCTCCTTATGTTCTCTTCATAGCTCACTTTCCTACCTATCTCTGTGTCATCAACAAATTTAGCTCCATACCTTCCACACCTTCAGCCTGATAACTTAAAGAAATTGAAAAGAGCTAAAGCTCCGGCATTGACCCGTATGGCCCCCTACGCCATGAGTTACACAATAACCTTCGATGTAGCACCTTATCAAATGCCTTCTAGAAATCTAAACACAATACACCCACTGGCTATCCTTTATCTACAGCACAAGTTACTTCTCCAAAGAACTCTAATAAATTTGTTAAATATGAACTGCCTTTGACAAAACCATGTTGGCTCTGCCTGATTTCCATTTAACTTCTCCAAGTGTCCTGTTGTCACTTCTTTAATAATAGCTTCCAATATTTTCTCAATGACAGATGTTGTTAACTGGCCTATAGTTTCCTGCTTTTTGCCTCCCTCCCTCCCTTTTTGTATAAAGGAGTCGTATTTGCTATTTTCCAATCTAAAGAAACATTCCCTGAATTAGTGAGTTTCAGAAAATTAAAACCAATGTGTCAAATATCCCACTAACTACTACATTTAAGACCCTAGCATCAGGATGCAACAGGATCTGGAGAGACGTCAACTCACAGTTCTAACAATATAGTCAGTACTCCTTCGTCGGGAATTATAATTTTTTTGATTTCCTCTTCTTTCAATTCCTGATTTACATGCTGGGATGTTTCTCATATTCTCTCTAGTGAAGATCAAGCAAAATACCTGTTAATTTATTTACCATCTCTTTATGCTCCATTACTAATTCCCCACACTCATTTTCTACAGGGTCAACACTTACTTCAGAAACTCTTTGTGTTTTTAAATATCTGAAGAACATTTTCCTCTCTGTTTTTATATTTTTAGCTAACTTTCTCTTGTATTCTAATTTTTCTCTTATTAATTATTTGGTAATTCTTTGTTTTTGTTTTACATATTTTATCTAATCTTCTGACCTGTAACCTACCTTTGCAGAATTTATATGCCTCTCCTTTGAGGTTGATACTATCCATGACTTTTTTAAATTTAACCACAGATGATATGTCTGTCCCTTAGAATTTTTATTGTTTGTTGGAATGTATCTATTCTGCACTGTTTGAGATGTCCCCTTAAATGTTTGCCACTGCATCTCTATTGACTTATCCAGACAACTAACTAGTGAATTGCCAGAGGGATCAGTGGTGGGGCCTCAACTATTTACAATCTATATCAGTGACTTAATGAAAGAACCAAAGTTGCTAATTTTGCTGATGAAACAAAGATAGATATGAGAATAAGTTATGAAAATCACATGAGGATCTGCAAGGGAATAAAGACAGGTTAAATGATTGGGCATGAATTTGGAGAATAATGTACAAAAAAATCAACTTATCCACTCTGGCAGAAAGAATAGAAAACTAGGAAATTATTTAAACAGAAAGAGATGGCAGAAATTCTGAGGTGCAGAGGGGTATGGGTGTCCTCGTATATGAATCACAAAGTTATTGTGCAGTTGCAGCAAGATATTAGGAAGGCAGGTGAAATGTTGGCATTTATTGCAAGGGGTTTGGAATATAAAAGGAGAGAAGTTTTGCCACATTTGTATAGAGCATTGGTGAGAGCGCATTTTGACGATGGGAGATACTGAGAGGATGTTCCCCTTGTGGGGAAGATGAGGACTATGGACTAAATAAATAAGTAATCTCCTTTTGAAGATGGCATTGAGGAGACATTTTTTCTCTCAAAGGTCAAGAGACTTTAAAAATCTCTTCCCCACTGAGTAGTGTGCAAAGCCATTGCATATTTTTTTAAAATTAGGGATAGAGAGTTTCTTGACTAACAAGAGAGTTGAAGGATATCAGTGGGTGGGGAGGAGAAGGTGGGATGTGGGGCTGAAGTCACAATCAGATCAGCATGCACTCACCTCACAACATACCAAACTCCACAAGCTGTTCTTACCTTTGGCACTTTACAGGGATCTGGTGAATCCACTGTTAAAAAAGGATCAGATTCCAGATTGGGAATTCCCATGTTCCTCTGGTACTGTGCTTTCAGCTTCCCATACCTTTGGCTACAGTGTCTCCAGCTCTTACGTTGCCAATTGTGTTGATCCAAATCACAGTCAGTTCCCAATCCGAACCACTCAGCTGTGCTCCTACAAAAGATACACAATTAATCATAACTAGATTATCAGTGAGACCACCCCTCTTTACAGTGTAGTGTGCTTGGCTCCATATTATAAAAAACATGAGGGCACAGTGTTACAACGCAGGGATAGCAAGCCAGACCATATCAGATTTGCTAACACTGGATTCACAACACAGTGAAGTTAAAACAGTTGTTGACTACATTTTCTTTTCTGAAGAAAGGTCTAAGCCCGAAATGTCAGCCTTCCTGTTCCTGTGATGCTGCTTGGCCTGCTGTGTTCATCCAGCTCTACACCTTGTTATTTCAGATTCTCCAGCATCTGCAGTTCCTACTATCTCTGTTGACTACATTAGTTATCTTCTACTAATTTATCATGGTGACAGCACTTCTTCCTGATTTTTCAGGAGCTGACAGCTAATCTGTTTTTATGTGCAGCACTGTGGCTCAGTGGTTAGCACAGCTGCCTCACAGCACCAGGGAACCGAGTTCAATTCCACCCTCGGGCAACTATCTGTGTGGCGTTTGCACATTCTCATTGTGTCTGCGTGGGTTTCCTCACACAGTCCAAAGATGTGCAGGTTAGGTGGGTTGGCCATGCTAAATTGCCCATAGTGTTCAGGGACGTGTAGGTTATAGGGGGATGGGTCTGGGTGGGATGCTCTGAGGGTCAGTGTGGACTTGTTGGGCCAAAGGGCCTGTTTCCATGCTGTAGGGATTCTATGATCTATGACCCTCAAAGTTGCTCAGTTTCTAACCAGACTTTGAGAAGAAGATATCAAACACCAAGTTTAAAATTTAAACAGAAATTAACAATTTATCATTTATACTACAACTTTAGTAGAGCAAAGCTAAACAAGGTAATCTAATTAATGTCCATGATTTAAACCCAATCTTCTTTGGTCATAATTCATAGTGGGGGACAGAGAAACGGCAGAAAAGCTTAAATTATTACCTTGTACATGTTTTTACTGAGGAAAGTACAAGAAATCCCCCAGAAGCAGAGATCCAAGTGGTTAGCCAGCATGTGGAGCAGATAGTTAATGCATTGATAATCACTTCCCAAAATTCCACAGGCTTTGGAAGGGATTCCAACAGATTGGAAGCTTGCAAATGTCATCCCACTATTTAAGAAAGGAACAAGGGAACAAACAGGGAACACCGCACCATAGCTATTCACAATATAATTTGGTACAGCACAGCGGCCCATTGGTTAGCACTACCACCTCGCAGCCCCAGGGACATGGATTTGATTCCAGCTCTGGTGACTGTCTATGTGGAGTTTGCACGTTGTCTGTATGGGTACTCTGGTCTCCTCCCATGGTTCAAAGATGTGCAGGTTAGGTGGATTAGCCATTGCAAATGCAGGGATAAGGTAGGGGATGGGTCTGGGTGGGATGGTCTTTGGAGATCCTGCTTGGACTGAATGGTTGGCTTCCACACTGTAGGAATTTATATTTTATTTTATGATATATCAATGATTTGGACATAAGAACCAATTGCAATATTTCTAAATTTGCAGATGATGCAAACGTAAACAAGAATGTGTATTATGAGGAAGATGTGAAATATTTTAAGAAAAATTTGAACAGGCTTAGTGAATTGGGCAAGAACATGGCAGGTGGCATATAATGTCGAAAAATGTGAGGAGGTTGTCCGTTCTGAGGAAGGGTCACCGGACCCAAACATTAACTCTGATTTCTCTTCATAAATGCTACCAGACCTGTTGAGCTTTTCCAGCAATGTCTGTTTTCGTTTCTCATTTACAGCATCCACAGTTCTTTCAGTTATCCACTTTGGTAAGGAAACCTGTAGAGTATTTCTTAAATGGTACAAGGTTGGAAAGTTGAGATGTACAAGAGGATCTGGATGTTCTCATCGATAAGTCACCAAAGGCTAACATGCAGGTGTAGTAAGCTATTAGGAAGGCTAATTGCTTTTAAGGTTAATAGAATGTTAGCCTTTATCACACGGGGATTTGAGTACAGCAATAGTGAAGTTTTACTTCAAGTATATAGCAGCTTGGTTAGAACACCCCTCTAGAGTACTGTATGCAGTTAGGCTTTTCTATCTCAGGAAGAATATCATTGCAATAGAGGGAGTGCAACAAAGATTCATCAGTCTTGTTCCCAGGATGGCAGAACTGTCCTATGATGAGAGCTCGGCCAACTGGGCCTGTATTCTAAGGAGGAGGAGGCTCCACAATGATGGAAGAGCCCAGCACATCAGTGCAAAAGATAAAGCTGAAGCATTCGCAGCAATCTTCAGCCAGAAGTGCCGAGTAGATGATCCATCTCGGCCTCCTCCAGTGGTCCCCCGTGTTACAGATACCAGTCTGCAGCCAATTTGATTCACTCCTCGTGATTTCAAGAAACGGTTGGAGACACTGGATACTGCAAAGGCTATGGGCCCTGACAACATTCCGGCAATAAGACTGAAGACTTGTGCTCCAGAACTTGCCGCTCCCCTAGCCAAGCTGTTCCAGTATAGTTACAACACTGGTATCTACCCGACAATGTGGAAAATAGCTCAGGTATGTCCTGTACATAAAAAGCAGGACAAATCCAACCCAGCCAATTCCCGCCCCATCAGTCTCCTCTCGATCATCAGTAAAGTGATGGAAGGTGTCAGTAACAGTGCTATCAAGCAGCACCTGCTCAGAAATAACCTGCTCAGCGACACCCAGTTTGGGTTCCGCCAGGGCCACTCAGCTCCTGACCTCATTACAGCCTTGGTTCAAACATGGACAAAAGAGCTGAATTCCAGAGGTGAGGGGAGAGTGACAGCCCTTGATATCAAGGCTGCATTCAACCCGTCAAGGAGCCCTGACAAAACTGGAATCAATGGGTATCAGGGGGCAAACGCTCCAGTAGTTGGAGTCATACCTGACACATAGGAAGATGGTTGAGGTTGTTGGAGGTCTGAGATCTAGGACCCGAGGGCACAGCTTTAGAGTAAAGGGAAGACCTTTTAGAATGGAGATAAGGAGAAACTTCTTCAGCCAGAGCATGGTGAATCTATGGAATTCACTGCACATAAGGCTGTGGAGGCCAGGTCATTGAGTATACTTAAGATGGAGATAGATAGGTTCTTGATTGTCAAAGGGATCAAGGGTTCTGGGGAGAAACGAGAGAATGGGGTTGAGAAACAGATCAGCCATGATTGAATGGTGGAGCAGACTCGATAGGCTGAATGGCCTGACTTCTGCTCCTATGTCTTATGGTCTTATGGTCTTATCTCAGCTCCAGGCCATCTCTGCAGGAGTTCCTCAAGGTAGTATCCTGGGCCCAACCATCTTCAGCTGTTTCATCAATGACCTTCCCTCCATCATAAGGTCAGAAGTGGGGGTGTTTGCAAGTGGGTACAAGGGCAGCGGATATATGGGAACACCACCCCCTTCCATCTCCCCTTCAAGCCACTCACCGTGCTGACTTGGAAATATATCGCCGTTCCTTCAGTGTCGCTGGGTCAAAATCCTGGAACCCCCTGCCTAAGGGGCATTGTGGGTCTACCTACAGCACATGGACTGCAGCGGTTCAAGAAGGCAGATCACCCCCACCTTCTCAAGGGCAACCAGAGATGGGTAATAAATGTTGTCCAACCAGTGATGCCCACGTCCTGTCAACAAATTAAAAACACTCCCTTCTCCGGGCAGATTGTGTTCTATTCTCATCCCCCTCCCTGGATAGACAGTGGCCTCCCAACTATCATTCAGTAATATGGAGGCTCATTACCTGCGGATGGTCTTTGAGATAGAGTTCTGTCGCTGGAACACTCCTGACTTTGTCACCAACATACCGTCTCGAGCTGGGTGCCTGGAATCTGGCACACTGACACTCGTGAAGAAAGCTGGTCTTGGGCTCTAGGAGAAAACTAATAGTTAACCCTCCACAATTCCAACTGGCATCAAACTATCTCAGTACAACAGTCATAGAGATCAAAGGCACTGAGTAAAACAGATAACATCCTGAACATGGGAAGGCGATGGCCTAGTGGTATTATCATTGGACTGTTAATCCAGAGACCCAGATAATGTTCCAGCGACCCGGGTTCAAATCCTGCCATGGCAGATGGTAGGAATTTGAATTCAATAAAAACACCTGGAATTAAGAGTCTAATGATGACCGTGAATCCATTGTTGATTATTGGGAAAAACACATCTGGTTCAACTACTAAGGAAGGAAACTGCCATCCTTACCTGGTCTGGCCTACATGTGACTCCAGACCCACAGCAATGTGGTTGACAATGAACTGCCCTCTGGGCAATTAGGGACGGACATTAAATGCTGCCTGGCCAGCAATGCCCTCATCCCGTGAATGAACAAAATAAAACATGGAGAGTGTTCCAGTTCTATCTGGGATCCTGATTCAGAAGAGCCATAACCCTCACATTCACTCAGTAAACCAGTTTGGCTCCCTCATGCTCCATGGAACCCACACATTGTGCCATCACCCTGTTCCCAAACAGAAAGTTTGCTAAAGGCCATGAAGAACATCTTGAATTGGATTAAGACAGGCTGAAGCTATGTTCAGTCTTGCTTCTTCACTGGGGTGTAATGTTCCATCTTGCTCTACCAATTCCACAATCATAAATGTAGAGACGAAAGGACTGAAGGAATACCTTCACTCCAGTCCTGAGCTTCTGCTGTCCTTGGGGGCAAATGGAGGGAGATGTTGGCTTCTTGCTGGGCAGGTGTTTGCCAGCAGACTCTGCATCTTGGTCCAATGACATGCTTTGCCAAACTCAGCTCAGCACCTGGAAAATAACCACCATATTGTTATGGAAGCTAATGAGGTTGAAACATCCAGTCCATGTTACACACTAGCCCTTGTACCCTCTCCAGAGGCTCCATTTCCCAACTCCTGAGGACTTACCAGTACCACCCTTCCTCATGCTCAATCATCCAAAAAGAACATGTGGAGCATTTTCAAATCTGGGGAATTACAGATACTTAGATTTTACAACTGCATCAAGGATCTTCATGAGAAATGGACAACTCAAATAATACTTGATAGTGCTGTTCAAATTCGTATTTTAAAAAAGGATATATTAGATGAGGAGAATGAGTGGAAAAAGTATTCCTGGAACATAGAGAATTCTCTCTCTGACGGGAAAGAACTGGAAAAGATTACATGGATGGGAACAACAAGTGGGAGTGACTGGAGTGGAGAATGAAGGTCACTGCATGTGGGAGCAGAGAATTTGCAGGTGATCCAATAGGATTCAGGTCTGAAACCATCATTAATTACAGTTAAAACTACGCAGTGGGAAAAGAAAAATGCTGTACTTACTGAAAATCAGAAACAAATACAGAAAATGCTGGAGAAACACTCCAGATCTCAAAAACTATGAATATTTTCAGGTCAATAATATTTAAAAAGTCTTTGACTTCAAATGTTAACTCAGTTTCTCTCTCCACAGATGATGGAGTCTGCAGTCAATATGGATTGAATCAGCCAAAGGGCCACTTCCGTGCTGCAGGACTCTCTAATTGAAAGGCCTGCCCTGCTGCTGTCCTCAGGTTACAACACATTGCGTTACACATGACCCAGTGATCACCATCTCACAGAGTCAGGCATCACTGCACAATTCTCGAGACTTCAATTCCAAATCCAAGCTGACAATCTCAGTGTGGTACTGAGGGAGTGCCGCACTGTCGGAGGGTCTGTACTGAGGGAG